AATTAAATGGCTTGAATAATAACTAACAGTATGATCACTTTCATCAATATCTCGTGTTGCTACCATTGGCAAAAAGAATGACAATAAAACAAGAATCATTCCACACTCAACAACTAAAACTAAAATATGTGAAATAGTTGCAAGTCCAAATTTCATTAATTAAATTAAAGTTCCCTTATTATTTTAAATTTTTTTTAAGATTTAATATATTGATATAATACTATTTAATAATAATAAAATGTTATAAATTATAATAAGTTTAAAATAACAAGAGAAAAAGAAAGAAGAAGAGAAAAGTTGAAAGAAGGCAAAAAGAATGTTCAAACAAAACATTGATTTACAGAGTTAATAGAAGAAAAAGAATAAAAAGATATGTGTCTAAAAACCACTTATTACTTCTTGAATTAATTCAATGACTATAAAAAATAAATTAATAATTTTATATTTCTTTTAATAATTAATAGAAAAATAACAAACATTTTAATACCATTGTTGATTCTTCTTCTCGGTCACACCATTCTAATAACAATTTAAATAAATCATCACATTGGAAAAATAATCGTTTTATTATATCATTGACTGGTTGTTGATTCATTTTACATTCTTCTTTTTGTTGTAATGCTTCTCCTAATTTGTTTCTAGCTAAATTAAATACAAATTGTTCAGGATTAACAGAAGTGTTTTCAGGTATTTTTTGTGAATAATATTCAATATATTGATTATAATTGGATTTTATATCATTCCATTGAACTGGTGTAGCTGCAAACGATTCAAGTTTCTTGGCATATTTTCCTAATGTTCCTGAAAATCGATACAATAACCCAAGTAATTCTGCATGAGAAATTGATGGTGGTATGTTTTCTATAATAATACGAATAGCACTATTAACTGAATTCCATTGTTCAACAGCAACCATCATTGCAGGAAAGTGTGGTGAAGCAGATGGGACTGAAATAGTTAATTTTGTGACATCAAGAAGACGTGCCATAAGTTAAGAAAGATCAATAAAATTAAAGAAGTGAAATTGAAAAAAAGTTCATCAAATTTTTATTTTGTTACATAAAACATTTTTAAATTGACATTAAAAATAAAAAACTAAAAAAAACAACATAATTTAATGACACTCGCTCAAACAACACTAAATGATATTGAAAAAATGCTAATTGAAACTGCAAATCAAGCAAAAGAGATTTATGACATTTCTTCTGATTTTCAAGAAAGTAATAAAAATAGATTACCGAAGTTAGTAGAAAAATTTGACCATTCATTAGGACAATTAAATGAATATTGTGGAACAGTAGCTGCTGATGTAAAAAAAGAGTTGGTTCTTCCTTATCAAGTTTTAAAAGATATTGATGATGGATTTAAACCAGATTCTTATGGAAAAGAATGTGTTGATATGTTTAGAGCAAATCATAAAAATGAAAGAATTAGAAGTGAAGGATTAAATAAACTTTACGCTTATTTATGTGATGAAATACGTGCTAATTTTGATTCAGAGTTAGCAGAAAATATAATAAAAGAAGCAAACGCAGATTAAATCCATTTATTTATTTAGTAATATTTTTATATTTTAAGGTAATAATATATTAAAAGAAACTAACAATCAATTTAATCTACTTGTTTTAAAAAAGATAATAAACTTGAACGTGCTTCTTGAGTTATTTGTGATTCAGTTTTTGATTTCTTTTTTATTTGTTTTACTAAATTTTTTCTAAAGGTATCCTCATTAGGAGGTGAGTTAGATTTAAATTTTTTAGGTTTACTTTCTTTTTCTTCTTTATTTTTTTGATTATCCTTTGCTTTCTTTCTTTCAATAACTTGTTTCTTTGTTAAACTTTCAATTTTCGTTGGTGCTTTGTCTAGAAGAGTTGTTGAACATTTTCCACAACTATGACAACAGCTTTGTATAACAACTTTATGCTTTACTTCATTTGTTTTAATTAAACCGATTTTTATTGCACGTTTTCTTGATATTATTTTTATTGAATCCTCTGGAAAACAAACTGTACGATAACACCAATTACATGTTAATGGTTCAAATTCATTATCTCCTGTTGGCCCAAGAAAGGTTTGTTGAAATTGGTATAACCTACAGGCAAAAAGATTGTTAAGACTTCTCATATAGTCTTTAGCGAGTGTGTTCATTAGGTATATATAATAATATAAAATCAATAAGTTTTATTTCTGAATTGAACAAAACAAAAAAAAAGAAACAGGGTTTTTGTTAAAAAAAAAGAAAATATTTGGGATTATAGAAGAAGAGGAATGAGATAAACTTTAAGGACTTGTTGGACTATTAACAAATGCCATAGAAATATGTTTGGTTGAAGTAACAATTAGGAGTGTTGGATATAATCTTGTCATTTTTCATAAATCTATTAATAGAATGGTTTAAAACACAAAAAAACAAAAATAAAAAACAAGTCGAACTAAAAAAGATCTCATAGATAAAAGATATGACACAAGTAATTCTCCGTATACATTTTATCTTTAAAGATAATACTAGTCCAACTGCCTCTGTTGATTTGGTTAAATCAGTTGCTGTTTTAGATACTGACACTGCTGAGCAAATAGTTGATAAGGCTTTAGATAAACTTCCAGAAAGACCTCAAGGAGAATTTATTTTATGGCAACCAACACGACACACATTGTTCCTTCCAAGTCAAATTCTTGCAGCTGCTGGTTATGACTCTACTGAGACACTTGACATTAGACCATTGAATCAACGATTTAAGTTTGAGTTAATTGACAAGACTATTAAGACATTCCAAGTTAATGTTACGTTAACAGTTGAGAAATTATTACAATTTATTGGAGAAAAGGTTAATATTCTTTACACTGATGAATATGGATTAAAGGTATACAATGAAACAACAAAGAAAGAAAGTAATCAATGGCTTGATCCATTAAGAGTATTTTATGAACAAATTAATTCAGAGGATCAGTTATTAATTCGTTTGAAGAAAAGATTTTATTTCAGAGATAGAAACGTTAATGATACTGATCAACAACAATTACATTTATTGTATACTGACTGTACCTTTAAAGTTATTGAAGGTATGATTCCATTTAATATGAATCAAGCAATTCCATTAGTTGCATTAAATTGTCTTGTAGAATATGGTTCTTATGATGAGAGATATGGTGAAGTTGATTTAAACCCAAAAGGATTAGAAAAGAGATTACCAGATATCAAGAAATATTTCCCAGAGAATTGCCAAAAAAAAGTCACAGCAAAACAACTTCTTGCTGTAATTAAAGAGTGGAAGAATAAAAGTATGACAACAAAACAAATGCAAGCTAAGTATCAATACTGTCAACTTGTAATGCACGAAAAAACTTATGGGCTTGATATTTTCAAAGTTCGTATTAGAAAAGTTGGTAAAGCAAAAGAAATTCCAAAAATTTTTGGTATTTGTAAAGATTATGTATTACTTGCAGATGAAGATGGTGGAAATCAAGAAATTTGGGTTATTTCAAAGATTGCTCGTTATGCAGTTGGTAAGAATGTCTTTATTCTTGATTTAGGTAATCACTCAACCAATTATATTACATTAATCACTGAAGAAGGTGATTTAATTTCTGCTACACTCTCAGGATATATTGATTTAATTACAAAGAGAAAAAAAGAAGCACAACTTGCAGAAAAAGATGTTGAACCAGAATATTCTATTACTGATAAAATTGAAGACGTTCCTACTGGAGTTGATAATACTAAGAAAAAGAAAGCAGTTCCTAAAGTTTCTCAAACAGCTCAAGTTGCTCAAGTTGTTTCACAAAGTGATACACAAGAACAAGTTCAATTATGTGTAGATAAGTATCAACAAATGACATTTGAAGAAACAAGTGTTGAACCTGTTCAATTTTCTGCTGAGGTTATGGTTGAATCAGCTCAATCTATTGGACAATTAGTTTCTGATTTATATTCAACAGATAAAGCTACTGTTACTAATGCTTTAAATGAATTAACTATACAAACTGATGCGTTATTTACACAATTTTGTGCATCAAAAAGTGTTGATTTTGGTAGTTGTGTAATGAATGCTGATGAAGATGAAGAACAATTATTAGTTGCTTGTCGTCAAGCCACAGAGTCTGCACAAGAATTAATTGAAAGTCATGAAAATGGACTTCAAACTGCTGTATTAATTGAGTCAAATGTTCAAGAAGCTGAGATTTTAGCACCAGAAATGTTTGTATTGCAAGCTTCAGTTGTATCAGTTCAAGCTATGTGTGGACAAGCTACAGTAAATGATAATGGATCACAAATGTTATTACATGAATTATCAAGAGCTGTTGGAGAGGGACTGTTTGATCTTGCAGCTATGTCAGTTGAAATGAATATTCAAGGAGAGAAAATTGTTGAAGCTAATAAAGCTCTTGTTACACTTGGACAAAATGAAATTGCTGCTATGCGTCTTCTTGCAGTTACTTCAAGTGAAGAAGGGTGTCAAAAGTTAATGGGAGAAATGAAGAATACAATGGATGTATCACTTGCTAATTATCTTTCATTAATAGAGTCATATGGAGTTTTACAAGAATCACCTGAGATGCAAGCCTTGTATGACCAAGTTAATACAATTAAGATGAATTGGGATGCATTAATGGCAGGAACTCAAATGAGTGGAATAGATGCAGAAAAGGATTTACTTTCAATGATTCAAAATTTGTCAGCTGTATTTAATGAATTAGCACAATTAAGTGATCCATTAGTCACTCCAGTTCAAGTTGAAATGAGTATTGATAATTTAGAAGATATTCTTGAGAGTACAAAAGAAACATGTAAAAATGTTGCTAAAGCTAAAATTGATGAAGGTAATCAAGAACAAGTTGCAGTTATTTTAGATAGCTTTAAAGATGTTGTACAAAAATTCTTTATAATTAGAGATAAACTAGAGAGTGGAGAAAGAGGTGAACTTGTAGAAGATGATTGTATTTTAATGAGACAAGCTATGGAAAAATTAATGGAAGGATGTGGAATGGAAGAAGTTGGAGAAAATATGCAAGGACTTGCACTTAATTCTATGACTAAAACTGCTGTAGCTCGTAGAATTGCTCTTGCTGCACAAGTTAGAAGAGTTATTAAAAACGGACATATTAAAGATAAAAATGTTCAAAAACAAATGTTAAAACTTACTAGATCATTGAACGAACAAGTAGAAGATATGCTTAAATTATTATCATTACCTGTAGATGAACAAGGTGCTCAATTACCAGAAAAATGTAAAGAGTTTGCACCCAAATCATACGACTTAATTGTTGAAGTTTTAGAAACACTTCCATTAATTGAAGATAATTCTTCACGTAGTGCTCTAGAATTTGCATGTAATGAAGCTGAAAGAGCAACATTTGATATGGCTCGATTGAACAATTTATTCAATAATACTAAACAAGCTCGTAAAGAAGTTGTTGTTACTAAAAAAGAAGAATTTGATAATATTGAAAATGAAATTGAATTATTACTTGGAGAACTTGTTGCTGATGACTTTGAAGTTCAAACAGTTAATGTAGAAGGTGTTAGAAGTAAAGCTAAAAGTCAAATTGAAGAATCAATTAAAGCTATGGCTGATCCATTAAAGAAGATAAGAGAAACACCATTAGAAGATCTTCCTGCATTATTTGAAAAGATTCAAGCACAAAACAGAAAGAATTATAGAGCAGTTAAGGCTTATGCAAGTACCGCTAAGAAAGGTGATTTTAGAAAAAGATTGTTAGATGCATCAAAAAGACTTGCTGATCAAATGAAAGGAGTTGTTGATTTATCTTTAGATGAACAATATGATGAAATTGCTAAGAAACAAGCAGAACTAGCAGACATTTGGTCTGAAATGGATGAGGTTATGAAAGATATTGTATTAGATGATGTTGTTGCACAACAAGAAACTAAAGAAGAAGAGATTCAAGACGCTGCAACAAAAGAACTTGTTGGAGCAGCTAATGTTATTAATAACGCTTTAGGCAAAATCAATGCTGCTCTTGAAGTGGCTAAAAGGAAGAAAGCTGAAAAAGAGAAACAATTACAAGCTGAGCAACAAGCTGCTTATGAAGCTGCTGTTGCTGCTAATGAGGCAGCAGCTGTACCAAGAAAAAGAACAGCCCTTGTATTGGACCAAACAGATATATCTGTTGCTATTTTAGAAGAAGCACAAACATTGATTAACTTTACTTCTGATTTGATTTCAAACGCTACAGTAGCACAGAAGAATAGCATTAAAGAAGAAACAGCCAAAGAAAAGAAAGATGTTTATAACCGTGATGCTAATTGGGAAGAAGGTCTTATCTCTGCTGCTAAGACTGTCACTGGATGTATTCAATATTTAGTCAAAGCTGCTAATGATCAAGTCATTCATAATAAACCAAGTGAGGCTATGTTAGTTGCTTGTGCCAAATCAGTTGCTGCTAATGCTATGCAATTACAAGCTGCGTCTATGGTTAATTTAGCTTTGGATGATCCTATGAGGGATAAACTTGCTTCAACAATTAAGAAAATTACTGATTCACAATCAGCATTTGTTAAGACAGTCTCACAAGGTGCTGATGCTCGTTCAGAAGTTGCACCACCAAAAGCAAGAAATGCACAACAATTAAGAATTATGCTTATGGAAGCTTCAGTCAATATTTCTAATATCGAAAAAGAATTACAACAAGCACAAGAAGAATTGTTGAGAATGAGAAGAGCCCGTTATGGTAATGCTAAGAAACCAATTCCATCTGGTGTTTCTTCTGCTAGAAGTGTTCCAAAAGTCCCTGCAGCTAAAACAAACAAAGTTGGTGGGTATGGTGCTTCCAAAAGTACTGCTACTTCTAAACCCAACACCACTACTAAACCTACTACTACAACTAAACCCAGTCCCACCACTACTCCTGCAAGAAGTGGGTTCTTAGCTAACAAACAACGACCTGCTGACCAACAAGCTGCTCTTAATAATATAGCTAATGCTGCTGCTTCTTTAAATGCATCAACAGGAGTTAGTAATCCAACTCATACGGAAGCAGTAAATAAACCAACTAATCCTACACACCCAAGAGCTAATGGATTTATTGGTAGAACAAGACCAACTCCAAAACCTGAGGAGCCTAAACAAGAAGAAATAGCTAGTCGTTCTACTCCATTAAAACCTCAGAGCTCAAACAGTTCTGTCCAAGACAAACCACGTGCTGGTGCACTTAAAGCTACTCCTTCAACTGATAAACCTGCTGTTCCACAACGTAATTTCAAAGTATCAACAAGAGCTCCACAAAAACCACTTCCTGTTGAAGAAAGCAATGGTCCATCTAATGAGTTGGCTGCTTTATTGGCTAAGAGAAGACAAAAAGAATAAATCAAAATTATCGTTTTAATTGCATTCGTTTAATCCATAGAGTTTTTTTATTACTTATTTTTTAAGAAAGAGAAAAATAAAGAGAACAATGAACTTGATTTATTTAATAGAGTCTTTATGAGAATTTCCTTTTTTATTTCTTTTAAATCTATGATATAAGTAATTTGTTTTGTAAATATTATTATTACTTTACAGAAATAATATATTAGATATTTTTGAAAATAACAAACAGTCCAAAACCTTTTTTGGTTTTATCATCAGATTGTAATGAATAATTATCGCTTTTCTTTCCTGTAATAGAGTTATTACCTCTTCTTCAATGAAATTAATAAAAACAAACTAGATAAAGTAGTACTTTCTTCATGTTTCAATAAGTAAATGTCAAACGGAATTTTTTGATATTTATTTTCAAGAACAATAGAAAAAGGCTTTGTAAGTTCTAACTTAGTTTGCATTTCAAGGTTTTCATTCTGAATTTTATTTAATGACTTTTGTAATTTTAAAAACTGTTTTTCTAATGTTTTTATTTCATTTTTTGTATGATCTAAAATTGCAATTGACTTACACATTTGAGTATTATAATCTTCATTGTATAAATTAATTGAGTCCATTAATGAGCGATAGATTTGATAATCGTCTAATACAAAATGACATGCCCCAACAAGATCAATTAAGTCATCTCCGATCCTTCGTGGAAGAAAATCAAGAGTGGTTAATATATTTTCTTTAATAATCACAATAAAAGTATTAAAGTCTTGGTGGCACTGAATTGTATCAATTTGATATTTTTCTTCATAAGGTAGTTTAAGTAGATATGATAGTATATCATTACATGGATCTGGATTAGATATAAGTGGCATAATTTCAAATAAAAAGTTATCTTGTGGATGACAATCACGAGAATGTAAATTTTCTAAGGTCGTTCTAAAGAAATTTAAGCGATACCTGTTATTGATGTAATCAATAGAACATGCTCCAGGAATATATTTTTCTGCATTTGTGATTAATGGAGATAATGTATAATTATAAAATAATTCTCTAAATACACTTTTCACTATATCTCTTTTATTTACTCTGTGAGAACGTAATATAGCACTAATTGATTGAATTAGTTGTGAGAAATGTTGCGGTAAATCATGACAATTATTTGATAAGTTATCATTGCATTGAGAAATCAATCTAACTAAAAAATCTTGAAACGCTTTATAATCTTCTTTTGATAATTGACTTTCATCATCAAAAGACAATGACTGAATACCTGAAGAAAGACTTATTCTTCTTGATTGAGGTTTAACCAATTCTTCTAATGATGGTTTTAAACTAGTAAGTAAATAATTCATCAAGAATTCCTTGGCATATTCATGATATAATTGTAAAAATAGTGAGTCAGGAGAAAAAAATGTATTTGTTTCTTGTCCTTTATTACACAATTCTTTTTCAAAAGCCCAGGTAAATAACGAGTTCATTCTTCCATGATGAAAGTAATACATCATAATTTCGTGTGCGTTTTTTGTTGCCTCTTCACATGGAGAACGGATAATAAGTGTTTGAGTAAGTGCTTCAAGTAAAACATGGTCATTAGAAAATAATAACTTGTCAAATTTTTCCTTAATTTTTGGGTCAGTTGGTTGAAACTCTAAAGATTCAATATATCGAGGAGATGGTAGGTCTAAAGAAGGAGGATATATTTCTTCAGTCATTAAAAACAGAATTAGAAATAACCTTTTCAAGTTTTTAATTTATAATTGTAAAAGAACTATTAAGTTAAACTATTAAAAGTCAATTATTAATGAGCGGACAAAATGCATGGTCTGAGAAATATCGTCCAAAAACACTTGACGACGTTCAAGGACAAGAAGAGGTAATCAAGTTACTTAAATCTTCATTGGATAGTGGATTACCAAATTTATTATTTTTTGGACCTCCTGGAAGTGGAAAAACTACTTCAATACTTGCTGTTGCACACGAATTATTTCAGGGATACTTTAAAGAACGTGTATTAGAATTAAACGCTTCTAACCAAAGAGGAATTGAGATGGTTAGAACAACCTTAAAAAATTATGCCATGCAAGATGTTACTCATTACGATGGAATTCCTGATTACAAATTAATTATTTTAGACGAATCAGATGCACTTACTCCAGATGCACAAACTGCATTAAGAAGAATGATGGAAGATTTTACAAAGAATACTCGATTTTGTTTAATTTGTAATTACATCAGTCGTATTTTACCACCAATTTCTTCTAGATGTATTAAATTCAGATTTAGTGCATTACCAAAAGAGATAGTATCAAATAGGTTACAAATGATTTGTGAAAAAGAAGGATTTTCTGTTACAAATGAAGCTATTCAAGCTGTTTCTATATTAAGTGAAGGTGATTTACGTTATGGAATTGGATTACTTCAAAAACTATCACAAGGTATAAATCATTCTGTAACACCACAAGATATTTCTAATGTTGCTGGTGTTGTTCCTTCAAAAGAAATCACTGAAATAATTCATTTATGTCAAAATGGAAGTGTTAATGATTTATATTTAAAAGCAATGTCATTAGTTGTTGAACAAAACTATTCAGCTGATTCTATTCTTTCACAACTGAGAGATGTCTATATCGAAGATTGTGTTAACTTAACTAATCAAGAACGTTGTTTATTCTTACAATTAATAGCACAGTCCGATGCTACTTTAATAGATAAAACAGACCCTTTGTTTAGTATTTGCGCATTATTATGTTCATTATTTAAGTTTTATCACAAATTAACATTAAATCCATAGTTAGTTCTTTTTTAGTTTTTAGTTTTGTACTCAAATTTTAGTCGTTAGAAAAGGTTGTTTGAAGAACAACACAACGTATCATTTTTTAATTGTATTTTACTTTTGTATAATGCTCAAAGATAAAATAAAATATTTTATTAATTAATTCCATCTCTTAATTTTCATTTTTTTTTTCATTAATAAAATACATTTTTTGATAATTAAATACAATTTAATTGTGTTGTGAAGATAAAAGAAATTGTTATATTATATAATCAAAAACAAAAAATAATTTGATAGAATGTTTTATTTAAAAGAAGACAGTTGTAATATTTATACAATACTATTACTTTGGTTCATAGTTGTTCTTAATGAGTATTACTAAATTCTTTATAAGTTATGAATTAAATTTAAGGAAAGGTATTTAATTAAATTATTATAATTTATAATAGTAATAATATTTATTTCCAATTTTGGACAATCCAATTCTGTGTTTTTTGTGAAAGAATATCATCATCTAATTCTACTTTGTAATACTGATCTCCTAATATTATTTTACATTCCTCTTCAATCTCTTTTTGCTAATTATGATAAATATTTATTATATAATATTAAAATAAGAATAAAATTTAACGAACTTTAAGTTCTTTTGATAACAAAGAAATGGATTGTTTCAGTTGATCTTCTTGGTATCCATTTTCCATGGTAATAGAGTTATATCTTTCACTTCCAATACATAGAACACTAATATTTTTTGTTTGAATTCCAATTGAGTTAGAATGACGAATAGCTAATATTGTTGGATTTGTTGTAATTGAAGTTAATGAAAGAAAATGAGTTGATGGCATACATGTCTTATAACATAAGTCTTTAATGAGGTCTTGAGGTTGAGAGCATTGAAGTTTATGATCATCGTTATAATAAAATATTTGTAACTTATTGTTCAGTGTACTTATAGTATTATCTCCGAATAATTTCATTGCAACACTTTGATAATACTTAATTGTATTTAAATCATTAGTGTATTGAATTAAAGTAGGAAGGATATTTATCATTAATTCAATTTGATTTTTTAATAAACAACAAGCATTAAAGGATGTAAATCCAAAAGTAGTTATTATATTACAATTATCTATTAAAGATGGATAATGTTTAATCAATTTCTGTAATAATAATAATTGATCTAATATAGAACAACCATGAGTTGTTTCAAGAACTAGAATTCGATATTTTTTTAGTTTTAATTCATCAATGCTTGATTCGTTTATTTTTGAATCTATTTCTTGTGTATGATTATCTGACTTAATTTTACTAATAAGCTCTTGTTGTTGATTTATTAAATTAAGAATATGAATCATTTTATCTTCGATTAAAACTTTTTCAACTGTTAATTTAGCAGCAGACCCAAATACTTTTAATGGTTTAAAGAGAATTTTCTTTATTGAGTTATGTCTTTTTCTTGGAGAAAAATTTCCTGCTGAGTTTTGTTCATTTAATTCAGCTAATTCTAATGAATTATTTTCAAGTATATTTATTTGTGTATTAGATTCAAGTTCTTTTTGTTCGTAATTGTTTAAAAGTTTAATTATTACATCGATATGAGGTGATTCAATAGCATAATTCAAAGGTAATTTTCCATATCCTGTTTCAATAATAACTTGTGCACCTTCTTTAAGTAATAATTGAATTGCTTTAACATTGCCCACTAAACATGCAAGATGAAGTGCAGTTTCACCATTCATATTTTGTTTATTGACATACGACTTATTATTGATAATAATTTCTCTCATTAGTTCAAGGTATAACTCACCTGTTCTTTGAACAAGAAGATGTAATAGCGTTGTTCCATGATCATTTATAACATTAATATCAGCACCAGCTTCGATAAGAAATTCTGTAATAAAATCTTGTTTATTTTCAATAGAAGTAAATAAAAGTGTTGATCCTATAACATTTTTTACATCAACTTCATTGGGAAAAGTTGAAACAAGAAATTTAACAATGTGCAAGTATCTGAAAGATTAATGAAAAGTTATACTAAAAAAACCAACAAACCCCAACGCAACGATGCAGTGATACAATTTATTAAATCCTTTGCATTTTGATAACCAAGTTTTACAATCTAAAACAGTTAATAATTCCATTACTTCCTCTTCTTTTCTTTGAAGAAGTAATCCTTGGATGTAATTAACAAGTGATTCCTTATCATTCACAAGTAATTCTAATCCAAAATGAAGTGGTTTTTTTGTTTCTTTTTCCATTTAAATAGTTTTTTAGTTTCATTTGTTTTTATTAATGGAAAAAAATCTCTTTTTTTGTATCAGTTTCTCTGTTTTCGTCTTTTTTTCTCTTCAAAACTAGAACTTTACTTTCTTTGTTACTTTATGTTTTCTTCTCAACCTAAATCAATTGTTAAGAAAAAGTCACCTTTAGTCACGCCTTTGTCTTGTATTAGTAATAAGGAATTAACGTATAAATTTCACTCACCTATCAAAAATATTGTATTCTCTTCAACTAATATTCTTTATGTCACTGAAACAGATGACCTTTATATCTCTGGTCATGTTTTTGATCCTACATCAAGAGGAAAAGTCTCTCTTTTCTCACAGTCAGTTACAGACAATGCAAAACCTGATGACATCATTAAAACACCACAAAAAATAGAAGGAGTTCCTAAACCAATTGATAAGGTATCAATGGGAAGTTATTTTTGTGTTGTGTTAAGTAAAGGGAAACTGTATTCATGGGGTGCATATGAAGGTGGACAATTGGGTATTCAAGATGTTTTTAATCCATCTAAGCCAGAGTTAGTTCCACAAATAAATGATATAAAGGACATTTGTTGTGGAGGGTATCATACATTAGCATTAAACATATGGGGAGAAGTATTTTCATGGGGCAAAAATGAATTTGGACAATTAGGAAGAATAAACACGTCGAAAAAAGAAATTCCATCACAAATACCATCATTAAGAAACTACGTTGTTTCAAGGATATTTTGTGGAGGATTTTGTAGTGCATGTATTACAGATCAAGGGATGGGGTATATTTGGGGTAAACATCTTAAAATGAAAGAACTTAAAAGAATTCCTACACAACTTAATCTTAAAGGAAGGTCATCCTCTTTTCCTTTTATTATTTCTATTGAATTAGCATGTAATGATATTTTTATTGTATTACATGATGGTAGATTATATAGGTTTATTGATTTTGATCAATTTGAAGAACAACCAATGCTTTCTATTATTGGAGTTACAAGAATAGTCGGTGAAGATGATAGGGCAATTGTTGAATGCGATAACGAAAATGTTTATAAGGTTCTTTTAAAAAACGATGCTTCATCTGTAAATGTCTTAATGAAATCAGATGAGCTTGGACAAAATTCTAATATTCATTCTATATTAATATATGGACCAACTACGTTAATATTATATGAACAAAATCCACAATATATATCTGCAAAGAAAATAGTGTTTTGTATGAAAAAGTTTTTAAGACAATTAGAAGGAATAATAAATATTTACCTAGATCCATTTGCAAACTTTGTTCAGTTGATAGATTCTAAACCTATTATTAAAACACCTCATATTGGATTAAGAAAAACACAACCAAGATTCTCTGGTTTAGTGGCTCAACCTCAACAATCTACTTTAATGACAAATCTAAAAGAAGATGAGAATTTTATTGTATCACCTGAAGATATTCAAAAAATATTTTATGGAATAAAACCATTAGCGTATTCATTACCAATTATTCTTAACGGATTCCTTAAAAAGTTAAATCAATGGAATTCAGAGAGTAGTTTATGTGATGTTATTCGCTCTTTTCTTAGTTTAAATATTACAAGACAATTCATTAATATTTCTAATAATATAGCTGAAAGTTTAACAACACTACAAATGATTAAAAAGAAGTCAAGTGATGTCCAACAATTTTTAAAGAAACAAGAACAATCTTTTAATCAATTTGAATTTGATGTAATTTTTGATAAAAAAAATGATCTTCCTTCATTATTACTATTACCTATTAAATTTCTTCCTCAATTTTATTCATTAATAAAAGAATATCATAAATCTTTACCACCAATTCACCCTGATTTCCTTGGTATTAAACAGTTATTTAAACAAATGGATAAATTATTATCAAGAATTAATGACTCTTTTCATTTTGATAATATTTTTGATATTGTTAAATGTTTTCCTGATGAAAATGGATCTGTTTCTATTACTTCAGGTACTACAACAGAATTAATAAATCGATTATACAATATGAATTTAAATGATCCAGAATATGTTGATATGTTCTTAATGATACATAAAAAATTTATTTCAACTGAAACAGTCATTTTTCAACTAGTTAATGTTTTTAATGATTCTCATACCACAGAAGAAACAAAGTCAAGTATTCTTTCAGTGTTTATTCAATGGACAAAAAGTTTTTTTGGTGATTTTGAAAAAAAGCCAGAACTTATTAAAAAGATTAAGACAATTATTTCGTCACAACCAGAATCAAAAAAGAATCATCTTTTAATTTTAAGTATAAATAGTATTGGAATTTCCTTAGCTATGAGAGCTAGAACAAGAGTTCATCTTCCTATCCAATCTACAATAACACTACCATACCAATATTTCTTAACTGAGTCAAATACTATTGTTCTTGCAGAAACATTAAATTCATTTAATTTAGTGTTATTTTCAAGAGTTACGTATGAAGAATTGATTGTAATGAATTACAGTAAACCAGAAAATAAACCATTAACTCCAAATATTCAAAATATGATCGAACGATTTAACTGGATTGGAGATACTATCGTTAATTGTTTTAATGAATGTCCTAAAGGAGACAAAGTTCAATTTATTCAAGGACTCATATTATTTATGAGAAGGTTACAACAATTAAAAGATATTCATTTCTTAGTCTCAGTAGTTTACACGCTTCCTAGACTTGATTTAGATTCTATTAAGAGTAAAAAAATCAGTGAAGAAGATAAAAATTATTTAAATGAGATAGAAGAATTGTGTACATTTAAACAAAATTATAAATATCTTAGAGCTTATTTAAGCCAATTGGAAACACCTTATATCCCTTTTATAGGAATTTTAAGTAAAGATTTAATGCTTATTGATGAAGGAAATCCAGATAAATTAGGTGATGGAACAATTAATTTATATAAATGGAGAAAAGTGTATGAATTAACTCAACAATTCCTCGATGCAAGACCAATTAACCCATGTATTTCTTCTTCTAATGAACAATTACAGATACTTATCCAGAAGATATATTCTTTTAAATAGAATATAAACTAATTTTATTATTATTTCTTACGTGATTAATTTGGATCTATCAAGGTGTAAATAATGTTACGTTTTTTTGGTAAAATGAAAGAGAATTCTACTTAGACCAAAATTTATATTTTAGTTGAAGTAGTTTCATAAAGGTGGTCGGTCATATCAAATCATTCATCAATACTAATTCTTATTTGATTATTTTTATGAACTTCATTTAACTACATTCTTTTTTATTTATCTATTAATTATTTTATAGAGTTTTTGACTTTGTTTCTTTCTATCAATAATTACCATTAATCCTATAAAAACTCATTAATAGTTATCTTTGTTTAGTATTTTAGTCTTTGGATTTTTTCATAATTTAGTTAATAATATATAATAATTAACATTCTGAAATATTTATTTTGAACCTTTACTTAAAAATTATTTGATATAATTTGTTCAGATACAATTTTGTTGTATCTATCATATATAAAAGAAAAATAAAATTTAACTCAATTAGTTTAGCTCATGAGTCAATTCAATTTATCATATTTTGATTTAAATAAAAATATAATCTTTCATAAATTTAATTTCTGTTAATAAAGAGAAGTATGTATTTATTATTTTTCTTCATTAAACATTTTGTTTGAATTGTATTATTTCTTTCATATGTTTTACTCTTCTATTATGATTTTTATTTATTTTATTTCTATTATATATGTTTTTGAAAATATCAGTTGATGTAACAAGTTGTAATATATCTAGTTATATTTGGGTTGTACATTTTTTTTCATTTATATGTATTCCTTTTGATTATCTTTTTATTCGAATTTCTACATGTTCTTCATGATAAAATGATATTTTTGTTATGAATTCTTTATTACAACAATATATTTTATTTTGTTTTGCATTTTTTTCTTTATTCTATTTTAATATATTTTTATTGTTTTGTTTAATTATTTCTAATAATCATTTTTCATCTAACTCATTCAATTCATTATTATAATCATATTTATTATTTATTTTATTTTCTATATTTTTTATATAATGTGTTAAGTTATATTATATATTTTTATTATTTCTTTTCTGTCAATGTAAATGTATTTGTGTTGTAAATTGATTATAATTTATATTTCATTTTATTATCAATTTTATTCATATTTGATAATTTATATTTTGTAATAATTTTTTTTATATCGTTGTATATTATTATATATTCTTCTTTTAATATTTTGAATTTATTCTTTTCAATTTCAATAAAATTATTGTAATTATTTGTTTGTGATTTTTATCTTCTTCATTTTCTGTTATATTATTTTTCTATTATTTCTTCTTTTTATTTATTTATCATATTTTCTCCAATTTATTTATTCCTTTATTTATGTTGATTTCTTATTTTGTTATATAATTCGTTTCAGTTTAATAACTTCTTTTCATTTAATAAATCATCTTCATTTCTTTTTCTATTCTATATATTTTAATTAATGTTTTAAGATGTAT